AGCCCTACTGGATACGGCAACCACAACCTTTACACTAATACCTCGAGCCGAAACTTCCCTAGTTCTGCCAACCACAGCTGGTTGAAGCTGATGCTCAGCAAACGGTGGAATCGTTAACCTGCTAACGATGTTTCGGCAATTAATTTGGTTAGCTGTCGAAATCGTCGAAGCTGTTGTGTAAGTTGGACGCCCTCCATCCATCATTGTCCTGGGAGCAGTCGCGTTTCCATCAACCGGCAGGACCGCGTTTTCGTAAACATGAGCAACGGTTCGTGCACTGACGCTGATAGTACAAGACGCGACTGTGCAACGTCACGCTCGAGAGCGTTTCGGGATGATAGCTACATGATGCAGTGCTTTGCAAAGAGATGTTTGCATACACAGGGTGCAAAAATATACCCCAAATTTGCTTCTTCCTTCGTATTGATGAATGACGTTTAACATGAGCCACCACAGCCAATTAATTCGAACAGGCCAGAAGGAATCAAACTATAATAATAATAATAATAGTAATCTTTATTTGGAAATAGACTAACTGATTGGTGAAGTTTAGTATTCGCTACTCTTACACTTACCCAATCAGTTAGCGATTGGTGACACAATACAGAAAATGTATGTCCTATGTTAAGGAAAAAACACAGACAAGAACAAGATCATCATATATATATATATATATATTTTTTTTTTGAGACGTGGTCATTGTCGTCTAGACCAGTTAGGTGAAAAATTAAAGTTATTCCGTACCCAACAAAAGGCGGAAGCTTTAATTTTTCACCTATATATATATATATATATATATATATATACAGGGTGGCGCATCGAAAACGAACCAGACGCATTTACTGGCAGCTCAGTTTTTTTAAAAAAAACGCTCAGATCCATAGATTTTGGCAAAAAATTACGTTAACACGTGCCACCCCCTAAGCGAGGGTGACACCACCCCCAAAATCTTAAATGGAAAGGGGGGCCGAGTGATACCTTATTTTAAAGGTCTTTCAATTCCCTTTGTAACGATATAAAATTAATGTTCTTCAGTTCAGTAGTTTTGAAGATTTATTGATTTAAAGCTTAAAGTAGATTTTAATAGGTACATCAAATTAGTTTGTACTACTTTCATAAGAAATTTGACTAAAAGACTTTACTTAATAAGTAAATGCTTTTCTTCACTACGCCCATGGTTTGTTTATCATTTTGTTGTTGAAAATAGCTATTGGAGCGTTTTTTTTGTGGCAAAAAAGTTATTTCTTGAAGAAAGATAAGGAAATATCTCGTACTTATTTTAAATAAAAATTTAGTACATAGTTTGCGATTAATTTGACCAAACTTTGTTGCTAAAATAACTTGTAACGCTTTAATATATGTTTTCCAAAAAAAAAAACTGAGCTGCTAGTAAATGCGTCTGTTTCGTTTTCGATGCGCCACCCTGTATATATATATATATATATATATAGATACAGGATGGCCCATCCATGTGTGGGCGGAATATTACTCATAAACAAATACATTTTGGGAAAATCTATTTACGGCATGTTATATATAAATGACATTTGAGGACACATTTCTAAAATATTGGGTCCCAATTTTGACCTACATATCAAAGTTGTGATTTTTAAAATGGAATGTCTCAAATTTTATTGCATATGGATAAGTCAATTCAAAAGAAGAATATTGATATAACATACTATGGGGTTTTGTTAATTAGCTAATGAGATGTAAGGTGTTTTGTCCAGAAAAACCGTCCACTTCGGCAACCCCTCAATCCGCCATTTTGAAATTTGGAGTACTGAATTTTGTATCAAAAAAACTAACACACCTCAGCTTTTATCTTATTTGTTACTTTTTCGAATTCTCATTTTTGCTCATACAGGGTGGTCAAAAACGCGAATTGTACTTTATAATTGTACATAAAGGATCATTTTCGGCACACGTTAGCATGTACAACAACAAATTATATAGATCAAGCCAGACAAACAGGTATATACAATTATTCCAAAGTCCTCACCCACAGCCCTACCGACAATATCGACCAACGTTGTTATGACTAACCTCGTCACTCTTCAACCATTCATCGGTCCACCTTAGTTGCTTTGCTGCGACGCGTGTGTTGAAAATATTAATCTATCATCCTAAGGATTAAGTGCAAATATACAGAATATGTGTAAGAGGCTTACTGGAGTTGGAGGTGTATAAATATGCTTTCGCCAAAAAGTTGTCATATATCGTCCCCATCCGCAAAACCCACAATTTTCAATCCACAAACCATTTTTTTAAAGTTCCAAAAACGCCAAGAAACAAAAAAAATGCTATTTGCCTGTAGCTTGACTGCCGCCAGATCGATTTTCCTAAACTACAATCCGATCGGTACTTTCCAGGTTTCAGCAAAGCTACTGATTAGCGCACAGAGAGGCCGACGTAAAGGAGAAACATAGGTTATCGTGATGTACGTTATTTATTATAACATCTTAAAATCATGCATCCAAATCCTCCTTGCCACTGAGCGTGGGAACTAAAACAATATCAACTATATTGTGCTAAAGACATGGCATCCTTGGGTATACAGGGTGGCCCATCCATGTGTGGACGGAATATTACTCATAAACAAATACATTTTGAGAAAATCTATTCATGTCATGTTATACATGACATTTGAGGGCACATTTATAATACATTGGCAATTATGCAGGGTGTCCATATTTTGACCTACATATCAAAATTGTGATTTTTCAAATTGGAATGCCTCAAATTTTATTGCATAATTGGATAAACCAATTCAAAAGAAGAAGGTTGAAATAACATACTATGAGGTTTTGATAATTAGCTACTGAGATGTAAGGTGTTTTGTCCAGAAAAACCGTCCACATCGGCAACCCCTCAATCCGCCGTTTTGAAATTTAGAGTGCTGAATTTTGTTTCAAAAAAAAACTTACACACCTCAGCTTTTATCTTATTTGTTACTTTCTCGAATTTTCATGTTTGCTCATACAGGGTGGTCAAAAACGCAAATTGTACTTTTTCTCAAAAATTTCAAATGTGTATATTTGTGCAAGTTTGGATTCAATTTTTTATAAGCTTTTTTTTGGTTTAAGGTTTGATTCAGATAAAATCACTATATTATGAGTTATTGAACTTTTAATAGAACAACACACCAAAATTAAGGAAAAAAGTAACATCAGCTATGGTAACAAAAGACAAACAGTGGGCTAGTTTCATATTGTCAAGTGTGATTTGACGTAAAAACTAATAACAATCGGGGCAGTATGAATCAGCTTCAAGCGTAATAGAGGAAAACAACTATAACAACAACATAAACAAACAACTATCACTACTCAAGACCTAATCTACAAAAACTGCTCTCAAATACCTCCACCATGTTGAATACACAGCCGTAGTCTTTGGATAAATGACCCTTCCACATCGCTCAGCATGTGTCCCCTTATGTTTAGAAAAGCATCCTTAATCCTTTCCTTCATATTTTCCGGGATAGATGGTGTATATCTACGTATAAACCTTTTGCTTAACGTAGCCCCATAGAAAGAAGTCCATCGGTGTTATATCTGGTGATCTAGGAGGCCAAGATATAGGCCCATCACGATCGATCTAACGATTGTTACTCCAGGTGTCCAAATAGTTACGCAAACGATTATGATAATCCGCAGGTGCGCCGTCATGTTGGAAGTACATATGCATCCGATTTTGCAGATTGACATCCTCCAAAAGCAAAGGCAAATGCTCGATCAAAAAATGCAAGTATCCTGTACCTGTTAATCTGTTGTCGAAAAAGAAAGGCCCGATAACCTTGTCTCCTAATAACTCATCCCCAAACATTCAAGCTCCGTTTATTTTGGAAATCTATCTGTCTAACCCAGTAAGGGCTTTTCGTAGCATAATAGTGCGTGTTATGCCTGTTGACAACTCCTATGCTGTTAGAAGTTGCCTCATCGCTAAAAAGAACCTTATCCAGGAAAGTAGTGTTTTCAATCACTTTATTTAGCATTATTCTACTAAACTCCATTCGAGCTGCGAAATCCTGAGGTCGAAGGCCTTGATGCAAGCATAGGTGATATGGATGGTACCTATGCTTGAGAATAATCCTTTGGACAGACGTTCTCCCAAAACGAACATCATATTCACCATTCCTTCTTTAGAAAAATTCATTTTCAAACACGTTTTTGTTATAATGCTCACAAAACTAATTTTGTCAGTTTGTAACTAATCAACAATTTATTTGTTTCCAAGGATGATGCGACATTTTAGGGAATTAAGCTGTTCCATAAAAGACGTGCTAGTAATCGCAAAAAATAGCCGTAAAAACCTTTATGTGTCCAGTATCAAAAAGAGATTATAAAAAATGAATCCAAACTTGCACAAATATGGTGACGCATTTGAAGTTTTTGAGAAAAACTACAATTTGCGTTTTTGACCACCCTGTATGAGCAAAAATTAAAATTCGAAAAAGTAACAAATAAGATGAAAGCTGAGGTGTGTAGGTTTTTTTTGATGCAAAATTCAGCACCCCAAATTTCAAAATGGCGGACTGAAGGCAGTGGCGGCCGGTGGCTGTGAGAAATGGGGGGCTATTGTAGGGAAGGGTGGCCTGCCGCAGTCACCGCCGGAGGCAAAGAATTTTTACGGTGCCACGCCCAAAAACTTCCATTTTGAGCCTTCAAATTCAAATATACATTTTTAGAGCTATAATTTTTTTTTGCATTTTTTATGTCCTGATTTTGTGGATGGATCAGTTGGCAATCCTATACCTATATATTTTATGTACAGTCCTCTGTATAGGAACAAACATATTTTAGGTACGAGAACTTATCGCAAAAGAAAGCAGCATCTAATATGAAAGCAACAGAGCATCTATTATCAAAAGAACAACAGTACTCAAAAGTATAGTTTTTCACTTTCTTACAACACATGTAACTATAAATAACTGGAAAAGAGAACAGAAATACGGTATACCTAAATGTATTATTGTATTATAAACGACTAAGTATACCTACCTACAGCTAGAGCAAACATTGTGTTTCAACTGTCACACTTCACACTTCTATTTATTACAAAATATTTTTTAATGTTTATATGTAAAGTCTAATCTTCTGTCTTTCTGTGAAATAAAATGTTCCATCACTTTTTCGTCAAAATTGCTGATATTATGTACCAGATTCTTATTAACAGACATCATTGCCAATGCATTCAGTCGTTCATTGCCCATCGAGTTTCTTAAAAACGATTTTATCCTCTTAAGGGTTGAGAAACAGCGCTCTGCTTCGGAAGTTGACATGGGAGTAGTTGTAATTATTTGCAACAACTTAGTTACTTCGCTAAAAGTTTCCTCTAGGTTGTTATTAGTCAATAGGGACAGCAAATTCAAACCACCTGTAATATTTTTGAAGTCTTCCCTCATGTACATTACTTCTAATTCGGTTTTCAGTTTTTCTTTATTTACCATTGGATAATAAGTCACAACTGAATTCAGTATTTTTGCTGGAAAATATCTCGAATAGTTTGTGAAGTTTTGTGTATCTAATAAAGATGCAGCTTCTAGATGACCCCTGTAAGAAAGTCTCTCTTTTGTCTGTACAATTATTATATCGCAAACTTCTTTTGCAATAATACAATTTCTTTCTTCGGGTCCTACTTTTCTGCGTTTATTTCCATTGTCTCCATGCTCATTTTCAACAGTTTGCTGTATATCCTCTGTAGTGTCTCTAATCAATACAATGGCCTTCTCAAATACATCAATATCTTTTAAAAGTTGTACACTGTCTTTATTCCTACTTTGAAACTGGTTAAACAAAATAGCTACGTGCGGTAGGGTTTTGTGAAAAAAAGTCAAAAAAAGATGAAATCAGAATCTTCGAGTGCTCTTCTTAAACCGTATGCCTCCTTACTAGTAATTGTTTTATCACATTTATTATCTAACTCCCGGAAACAATCAATAAGAGTTTCACGGTTCTCAAAAACGGCACTGACTGTGCGAATGTTATAATTCCACCGTGTTGGCGCAACCTTTGGCATTTTGGTTTTAACTATTTTTTCCAATAAATCGCATCTGTGCGGGGAGTTGGAGAAGAAACTTGAAATTGCCAACAGGTTTGAAAAAAACTCTTTTACTTTTGGATTTTGGCTGGCTGCTCTCTGCATAATTAAGTTCAGTTGGTGAGCGTAACAGTGTATAAAATGAGCGTTCTGATATTTTTGTTTGATTTTTGTTTGAACTCCACCACTGCTACCGCTCATTACGTTTGCACCATCATAAGTTTGCGCAATTAATTTGTGGGGTGAATCTTTTAATAATGGGCCTAGTTCTTCTTCGATACACTTTGCCAAACCTTCAGCTGTCTTGTCCGTAACGCTCAAAAAACGCCAAAATCTTTCTTGTATTTCACCTTCATGGAGATATCTAAATATCATTACCATTTGACAATGATGTGAAATATCTGTTGTTTCGTCGCACTGTATAGCTAAAAACTCTGCTGCATTAATTTGCTGTCGAATTTCTTGTTGGCAGACTTCCAACATACTATCTAGTATTTCATTTTGTACTGTTTTAGAAGTACCCTTAAACAGTGTCGCACTTTTTAAATGCTCCTTTAATATTGTATCCAGTTCGGACGTAAAATTAATCAACTCTCGAAAAATGCCACGATTTTCAGAGTCTTCACTTTCGTCGTGCCCTCTTAACGCTAATTCCAATTTACCGCAAAACTTTATACAGTTTATTATTCTTTTTAAAAGATATCTATTTTTGTCCACTTGCTCGTTGTGCTTAATAATATTTTGCCTGTAAGCGGAATCTAACTGAGCAGCGATACTAGCTGTTCCCAATAAAGCTAATTCTGTCGAACAAATCATGTGACGAGCCGAATTTTCATGCTTACTAATTTTCTGGTTTATATGCTTTAAATCTTTAAATCCAGTTCTTGTCCATGTCTTTTCCGCTGCATCTGAATAAAACAGTAAGCACGGAAAACAAAACAGGGCGTTTAATGTGCCACAACCGCATATCCATTTGTTTTTGTTATAGATATCTTTCTTAAAATGTCTCTTAAAACAACCAGCTTTCGTCGATTTATCAGCCTGAGTAAGGTTGATATTTGGAATCGGCCTTCCAAGGGATTTTATTATTATTTTTTCAGCAAGCGGAAGCCGAGAAAATTCACCTTTTAACAAATTTTGTACTTCATTTGCCATTTTAAACTTTTTGAACGCCCGAACGACGGCACGGGGACGCGACACGTAAATCGGGACTGGCTAAAAATTATTTCGCCACCTCGCGTGTTAAAATCCCGTATAAAACTCGTAAGCGCGTGGGGGGTATGACGTAGCGAGCCACTCAATCAGGTCGGCGATCGCGGCAAAAATTATTCTAGCCTCGAATCGATAGGGAATCTAGCTCGCGACTTCGGGGTATTGGGATCGGATAATATATATATATATATATATTGCGTGTTGCGTAACTGGCTACTATTAAAATTCAGGTTTTGATTGAATTTTCGTATATATCTGGAAATTATTTAATCACAAAATCATATTTTAAATTTTTTGTTAATTCGCATTTTGTCTTGGGGGGCTGTAGCCTTTTCGCCCCTATGGACCGGCCGCCACTGACTGAAGGGTTGCCGAAAAGGGGGGTTTTTCTAGACAAGACACCTTATATCTCAGTAGCTAATTACCATGTCCTATCAATTTTCTTCTTTTGAATTGGCTTATCCAAATATCCAATAAAATTTGAAGCATTCAATCACAACTTTGATATGTAGGTCGTAACTGGGACACACTGTATAATGGCCAATATTTTAGAAATGTGCCATCTAATGTCATCTCATAAATAGATTTTCCCAAAATGTATTTGTTTATGAGTAATATTCCGTTCACGCATGGATGGGCCACCCTGTATATATATATATATATATATATATAGAAATGATAAGACTAAGTGAATTTATAAACAGTTTAATTTTGTTGCGGAATGTAGACAAAGAATATGACATACGCAGGTATTGTGTTATACCTGGTAGCTCAATTATACGAAAAACTTCCTTAAAATAATGTTGTTTTGTGCTGTGGAACTCTTATAATTGTGTGTCTTAACGGTCTGGTGTGCACATCCTTACTAAAAATATTTTTTTCTTTGAGTTATAAGGGCTTTGACTTATGCAACAATTTATGTGTGAAAATTAAATAGTGATAGTTTAGTAAATTCTCAAATTTCATCCACTTCAATGTTTGGTAATTGGCTGAAACATGGTCAAATTTTCGTAATCCAAAAATGACCCGTACACAATTATTTTGAATGATTTAGATAATGTGTTTATTAGGCAGTGTTGGCCACAAAATTATATAGATTTAGAAGATACTTTCGGGTAGGTTTGCGTACCAAGGTCTGCCAAAGTGACCAATCAATACATCGGCGTATAGGTATTTTTTCCAATATTTGGGTTAGAAAAACGAAGTATAGCTATTTCAATTTTTTAAAAGCGCAAGATGAATATACAGGTCCAATTCGAAAAGAATATATTATTAATTTTTAATATGAAATGATGAAAACACTACTCGACCATGCTGTGACGTTATGCAAATAGTAAACAAAGAAACGCCATCTGTATGTCGCTCGTGGTCTAACCTTAAAAACTCCTAATCAACATAAAAAGTTATCGTTTTCTCGTTTTATTGAAAAAAGCAAACATGGACGTTGGATTCGAAAAATCAGAAAGTACAAATTTGCCGAAAATTGACACGTTGGTGGTTGGTACTATTTTTGCCTTCAACTCAGATTTTTGCTCTGCTAAGCTGAGGAACATCAACACTTCTATATACGTTTATATTTTTGAAAGTTTAAAAGCTTATGCTGCTGCTGTCAGCTGCTGACTACAGATGGCATGACTTCAGAGCACATATGTAAATAAGGCGGACAGCGTTTACGCCTGACTAAGAAAAATATATTTTTGAATTGAAGTGTAAGGGTCTGCAAAAATACAGTATTATTTTTTTTATCGAGTAGAATAAATATTAACTATTTAATACTTAAAAAAGCGTCAACTAGCCTATTACTTTCTTTGGAAAGAATATTCCAGTAGCCAATCGTGAGTACACCCATCTCGTAAGGAATCTCTATCTGTGTTGGGATTTGATTTTTTGTAGTTATTGTTAACAAGGAATAAATTGAGTGAAGTGACGAAACTAGAATAAATATGAATTAACTGTCCACCAAACGAATAACTCGAACTTACTACATACGTAGTTTAGGAAGGTCTTTAATGTGTTTGATACGAGCAGATTCTTGTCTAAAAGCAAATGTCTAATTGAACTTTATATGGTAACTACTGGTGTATCGTTATCACTATATTGATCCAAGAAAAATATTATATTTTAATTAATTTGATATACAGTTCTTTGAGGCGTGCCAAGATTGTTTAACAAAACCTGGTGGCGGTTAAATGAGTAAATTGAAAAGTAAGAACATGTCCTAAAATGTTTTGGATCCAAATTGAAAATAGAAAAGATCTAAAGTTGAAGCTCCCGTTCCAGTAATCATTAAAAATTATGGTCAGTATCCAAGGTTTTGGATTTTTAAATTTTGTGTTGTGAAACTTTGTTAGCATATCTTGAATTGAGATTCAATACTTAAAAGATCAACTGAAATGATAAATCAAGAATATCTCACAACTGTGCGCCTTTCCGCGACGCCCAAGTTTATTCTATAACAATACCATAAAAAAGTCTAGTTTCAACTGATTTTTTTAGGGTCCACGAACACCTTCACCAGTTTTTATAATTTTCTGGGACACCAGAACTGTATGGGAACGCACGCAAGCTTATAAATTTTGGCAGATTAGCAAGAATTCGATGCGAAATATCTTCAACTGTCAAATCGGCGACTTAAGCCTGATCGATTTGTAGTGTACACTTGCATTCTAACCATTGGCTACAGTTTTGTGGCTCTAAACTTGCTTACTTGCTCTTTCTACCTATAGTAGAATATATATTAGCAAATTTAAAAATAATAATTCGTGGATTCGAACCTCCGTCCTGCGGTTCTGTAATCCTCAACCCTTCCCATTACGAAATGACGGCTCTTGGTTGACTGGATCCTTATACCACTATACTTGTCGCTGACAAATGTCAAGCCAATATTGCAGGCATATCAAGTCTGTTATAAACAAGCACAGTAGTCTTAAAAACTATACAAGATACAATGCTGAATCTTTAAATAATGTATTAGGGACTAATAATGAGCATTTTGCCTAATTTTTAAGACGGTCAGTTCACTACAATTGGTTGATATTCGTCTACTGTTCTTTCGTTTTCTCAAGTTTATTTTCCAACATTGTAAGCTCGCAGTCATTTTAATCGAACGAGATTTCGAAAACAAACGTACACTATATTAATACTTTTAGAAAAAAAGTCTAGGGAATTATATATCTTCGTAAAGAAACTGGATTACGAGTCCTACTCATTTGTCATGCAGTCCTCAATAATGCAGCCATTTAGCACATGTTATATACTAACTAGTCTGAGAGAGTTTGAAACATAATTGTGTCTTCAGTTTGCGTGCCAAGATTATAAATGGTTCAGCGCATTCCAATATGGAATATTTTTTTCAGCTCTAATATGTATATACAAGAGTATGAAGAAATCTTGAAAAAAATTGTTTTCTTCGTAACAAAAGGTGATAGACACATCCGTTTTATCTTAATCTATAATAACGAATGTTTTTCGATTGTCGTAGCGAATCTGTTCAGTTACTCACATATACGAAATGTATGAATTTGTTTAGAGGAAAAAAACGAAACCCTTCGTTTTTCGCATAAAAATAACAATTATCTTTCGGAATTGCTTGTAGTTTACATCGGCAATGTAAATTCGTGTATTTTGCTATAAAATGCTATTTGAAAGAACCCCAAATATTGCTCAGTAAGCTAGTAGTGATGGCCGGAAAACAGGAGCTTTGGGATAAACAAAAAAATAATTCTCAAAAACTACTTGACAAATCGACTTGTTGTGGTTATTTAGATGTATGAAGCCTACGGATTTGAAGAATTTGAAGTAGCTGCGTGAAATTATCGTTTAGCAATACGTGCCAAAACCTGCATTTTGCCTCGGTTTTCGTCTATATCTTTTTTACTATTAGTCGGATCGTTTTACGCGTGACCTCATTTTGTAGGTCTCATAAATACCTTAAAATCTTATTTGAAGAGCTTTTTCGTTCCTTCCAGCATTTTCGAGTGAATTCCAAAAAACGGGATTTCTCATTTTTTGTTGTCGAATAAAAAGTTTTCCCACAAAAACTGGTCTACCCATTAATGCGTCCATGTTTTAAATAGCCTCTTGACCAACTTGCATCAATAAAACCAGACTTTTCAACTACTTTGTAAACCAGGAGTATTTTCGTATAATATAAAGACTACTGGTCTGAATTCGCTGGACGCAGCTCACAGAAGTACATTATATGGACCTCGTTTTTGCAGCGTTGCCATATAATTTCGTCAACTTATAAGGTTCTAAGGTATGTTGAGCATTTTTGATGTTTTATTTTTTCAGACTGTTAATCACTACAATGGTTTTGAGTATAATTTTACATTTTGTGCTATGAGATAAAAATAGTATTGGAAACTGTCGATCTTGAACAAAAATATAATAACAAACCGCTATAGGAAACTGAACGTACTTGTATATGTATCGTTTTATTAATATGAAAGTTACTTAGCAAAATTGTTTGTACCTCCGGATGAAGAACCATTGCATATATACTCAAAAATATGTTTCTGCTGTGAAAAATTATTTCGATGGCGTCTTGCCCTCATGCATGATTGTTTTGACACTGCCATGACCGTTTGAAATCAGAAAATCGTCAGAATCAGGTGTTAAAATTATCATAGCGGATCATATGTATGGAAGGTAAAGCGGCATCGAAATTAATTTCAACGGTCGAAATTCGGTTAGAATCAGGCTCCTGGTCTATGAGAAGGCCGTTTTGTATGATATCTTATCTACGTAGTTACAACGTAGTAATCTAAAAATGCATCATTCATACATAAATAAAGTACCGTGCAACTCGCCGTATTTATTTTATAGGTCATGCATAAGCAGTCTGTATCTATATCCCTTTACGATTCCAAATTTATGAGTAGTTCTCTGGAAGGCTGGGAATGCTACATTGTCATGTTGTTATCAATTCCCTCCTGTCGTAGTCGTAGTGCGTTTCCGAACATAAAGCTGCAACCTGCATCTAGTGATCCAATAGTATTTCCATTTTATTGGATATCTCATTTAAGATGCTTGGAATACACATTAATAGCACATTATACTTTATAATGTTGAAGTAGAATTATTTTTAGAAATGCGTTTCTGCAAGCTAACCCTCTAAATTACGTATTAAAAAACTTTGTAAATATATAAAGGGTCACCAGAAATTCACTTTTAGAGATATACAGGTCGGACAA